CACTGGCTCGCCCTATATCCAACAACACCGTAACCCCGCTGTAGAAGGGCAGCAGACTTGTCATGCACAATTTGCCCTTAGCGTTGCCATGTTGGCTGTCACCCATCACCTCATTTTCCATATGCCATACCATAGTTTACAGGAGGGATCTGCTCCATGATTTTGCCAGGCACAGAGGTGTTCCTGGGGTATTCCTTTTCCCCCCTTTTAAACATGAGGGTTATGTTTCCCCTTTCCAGTCACTGGGAACTTCACCAGACTGCCATGACTTCTCAAATATGTTCTGAACTTCATCTGCCAGTTCTGTCAGGACCTGTAGATACATCAGGTCCCATGGGTTTGTGTGCCTTCAGGTTCCTTAGATGGTCTTGAACCTGGTGTTCTCCTACAGCGGGCGGTTCTCCATTCTTCCAGTCCCGTCCTTTGCCTTCTGCTGCTTGGGCAGTGTCTTGAGCACTTGCTGGTGAAGACTGAGGCAAAAAAGTCATTGAGTGCCTCAGCCTTCTCCATGTCCCAGGTCACCACATCTCCTGTTTCCTTCCAGAGAGGGCCCACGTTTTCCCTGGTCTTCCTTTTCTCACCAACACACCTGTAGCAGCTTTTCTTGTTGCCCTTGACGTTTCTGGCCAGATTTAATTCCATCAGGGCTTTAGCTTTCCTGACCTGATCCCTGACTGTTTGGACAATTTCTCTGCATTCCTCCCAGGCTACCTGTCCTTGCTTCCACCCTCTGTAGGCTTCCTTTTTGTGCTGGAGTTTGGCCAGGAGCTCTTTGTTCATCCACGCAGACATCCTCGTGTTTTTGCCTCATTTCCTTTTTGTTGGGATGCATCTGAGCTTGGAGGAGGTGATCCTTGAAGCCAGCTTTCTTGGGCCCCTCTTATTTCCAGGGCTGTATCCCATGGTACTCTACCATGCAGATCCCTGAAGAGGCCATTCATTTTCTGATTCTTTTTTTCCCTTAGTCCTATACGAAAATGAATCTTTGGAGTGTGCCAGGTGGAACAGGCTTCAGTAAAAATTAGTTACCAGGAAAACTAAGTCCCTTGCTTTATGTCTCATTGATCTTAAAGCTTGTTTCTGCAGGTTGAGCTCTGAGAGTGACAAATGCAAGTAGAGTTTTCTCAGATTCATGTAGCATATACATAGCGTAAGGTTTGGGTTTTGTTTTGGGTTTTTTAAGCCTGGGCCTGGGAGTGATGTAGCACTAATCTTAAAATCTGGATGCTGCCAACACTTTTGGTGCCAATAAATCCACAGCTCTAGGCATGAATTTATGATAGGGCAGAATAATTCTGGAAACCCTGAAGCAAAAGAATACTGGGAGAAGTACAGTGCTGAAAAGTAAGTGCTCCTAGTTAGGCAATTCATTTTGGAGTGTCTAAATAATTGCTTGTAGGAACTTGCACATTGATTTTAATGCATATTGGTCTCTAATCTTCCAAACGTTGTGTGGTAGTTCAGGCCCAGTCTGGAAACACATTTTCCCTGCATAATCCCTTACTGCCGTGTAAGTTCTTGGGACATTTGCATGTCGTTTGAGAATACCTTTTGGCTGATGTTCATCTCAAACCTTGCTGGCTTCTCTTGCATGTATTCACTGGATAAAACTCAGTGGAGCACAAACTCTGAGACTTTTGTATTTGATCCATGAGGACTTTCCTGAGCATCCTCCCGCTTTCTTATGAAATCCTAAAATTATATCTTTACTTTCGAATTTGTGATTTCATAAAATTTCTTGAA